CATCTATGCATCCATTTCATTTGAATATAATAACATTCAACATTTACTTTGTTCCTCATAATGTAACCAAATTTATGTTACTTCTCGAATATATGTTCCGTTTTGTCCATTCCCACCATAACTGTTGTATTCTAATAATATGCTATGGTTTTTGATGAGAAATCTTAAAAAATGGACACATTCAAAAATGATAATAATCAGCACATCAAAATATGCACCCATCGTCACTGAATCACAACTGAAAATTTTCAAAAGCTCTCTTGAGACACCTTAGGAAGCTGTTTTTGAATTTTCAGTCTTCATCTTCAATATACATAGAATAAATGAAGCAGATGGATTACTTATGATGTAACAGATTAAAGCTGCTGATTAAATATGTGCAATATTTTGTATGTCGAGATTGCATGAGTCAATAAACGAATAAGAATGCAATCTATTAATCACTGGCAAAGATGTCCAATTTTTTTNTCCGGATCTGGAGATGAATTTTCGAAAAATGTGGAGCCGGGGCAAGGACCGGAGTCGAAGTTCAACGACCGTAAAGCCGAAAGCGGAGCTATATCAGTTTTTCAAATATCACTTTTCGAAAAACACTGATCACTAACAATAAATTTGAGCCACAATCGAACAAGTGTGCTGTTCATTAATCCAATAACGTGATCTCAGTTAATAATAACAGCATTGCCGTTCATGACTGTTGCTCAATGACGTCATTGCTGCTGAGAGATTTGTCGAGTGAAGTGATTTTTTATGGATAGTGTTAAAAATGTTATTAATTGTAAGTGAATAACTGAAGCAGCAAGCTATTTGAAAGTGATTGATTTATTTCAATAAACTTCAGCTTGCTCTCATCAATGAAAACGTCTTTGCAATTCATTTGTTGCCACAATAACGAAACAACTCGTCGTCATTATTGTCATCAACTATTACCAGTACTCAGACTTTTATTAACTTACTCTTCTTAATTGATCATTCACACATTCAGTGCTACTCATCTATCAACTGCACAGCTTATTACTACATTCTATAGTTTCCGGTCAGGGTCAGCACTCAATTAGTTTGTCTGAGTTATACTACTCATTCTCAATTCTCATTTGATTTCTTTTGTGTGAATACCGATGACGATGGCTGTTGTTAATGCACATTTATTATAATATAATAATGCTATTATTATAAATATATCGTTCTGCAATAGAATAAAGGCTGAATGATGACGCTTGGTTGCGTGCATAGATGGAGTGGGCTAACGCTGCTGACCACTTGGTTGTAATTTATTGAATAGTGTACATTTATGCATAATGTTTCGAGCGAGCACACAAACAACATTGCACATTCCGTTCACAGTTGCATTGTATATTTGCATCAGATAAAACAACGACACTTTCGCATTCAGTACGTACGACGCATCTGGTTATCTTCTCAGATGACTGATAAACAATTTATGATTCACACTTTTCTGAACTGATTTTTTGAAACTCTCATATAAAACCTTTGAATATCTCAAAAGAGCAAGCAGCATCAGAAACTGGCAACAATCAAATTCACATCAATAATCCATGATGTCAATTTGGATGATGTTAGCATGATTTGAGAAGTGTTGTTGAGTTCGATCTGATCAAAGATAAGCTTAACGCTACGCAAATTTAACATCTCCAATGCAGTATTCTCTTCTTGGATGAAATTGTTGTATATTAAAAACTGAATATTCTTATTCAGGCGAAATTAACCTAACGTTATCAGTCAAAAATTATGACGTCGCATCTCAAAATATGTTCAATAACTTGAAAAGTGTCGTTTAATCATGCAACATCACAATATCTTTAAAATGAGTGGCAGATCATAGATTAAGCGCAGTTGCGTTCGTTTGATAGCTGAATATTCACTTGATTTTGATTTCAGATCACTTCATTCGATGAATTTAATATATCATTCATTCATTGTTAGGATGGGAATTTTAGTATGAAGGTGCTTGGGCATACGGATGATAATAATGATGATATTTGAATGAAATTTCAGTTCGGTTGGAATCCAGTCAAATTGACTTTTCAACATTCGGTTCCGACTGAACTTCAAAATTCTTCGGTTGGAATCCGAATCTCATAGTAACCGACCGAACTTCGGTCGGTTACTATCACTGTTTGATAATTCAGTGAATATAAAATAATATAATATATACGCATGAACTGTTGTTTATGCGACCATAATGAAGATATGAATAACGCAAACTGATGGAACATTATTAGCAACAAAAACAAAGAGTGCGGGTGGATAAGTTGAAAGCATCTTCAGGAGCACTATAAAATAGATTCGTGAAAGAGTAATTAAAAGTTATTTTATGTTTGCATAGTGCTTGTGTGCATCACGACCTTGAACGCTATCTATAACAATTCACTTCTGTTTGCACTTTAAAAGAATTCACTCAGCGTGCAGTCATTCATGTTCTATCTCATATTTCTTCGTAACAATCTAATAATCATTATATGCGCTTAAAAACAAACGTACAAAGCAATAACTATTAAGACTGCATCATAGCACCAGATATTTGCAGCTACTGCTTCCTCTGCTCTTATAGATTAAGCCTGTGCATTGCGAGCTCATAGCAGAATAGCGCAGATTTATAATAAGAATGTTTTAAAGAACCCAGAAATATATTTTTGGTACGAATATTTCTCAATACTATGATGTAATATTTATTGCTCTAAAGATGGCATATTATTTGAGTGGATCTGATTGCAAATTGATATTATTTGAGGACTATACAAAGATGCGTTTGAAAAATAAGATTGATCCTTCACGCCTAGTACTCATTAATCACAGCAAAAATAAGACGTTTCATTGTTAATCAATCACCTTGAGAAGCGTAATTCCGATTACTGAACGATGCTGTAGCCGTATGAAAGCTATGAAGATTTATCATCGAAATTAAACAAAAAGAATAATTTTTTGTGAATCTCATCTAAAATTCTAACTCAGCAATTGAAAATCCCTTCAAATTAGAAACAGTATTAGAAAGTTTTTGATTCAGCTGAAGATGAAACTTACGACCAAATATGCTACATTCAACAAAAGAAATTTCAGGAAGATAGTGAGCTGAGGAGGCATCTGAAACATCACATTGTAAATCTTTGCAAAGACGACACCAATTGCTCATCGGTATGTTATTCTTTTCAATCATTCACACGAAACTTTTCTCTTGATTTGATAAGTTGATTAGTTTCACGAAAAATGTCGTGCATATAAACTCATTATTTTCACGTTAGTATCCATCTAAACAAGTGCAACTGTATACTCAATGTGGGATGTGTTGTGAAGTGAATCCAAAGAAGTTGCGTAATCAAATGAGATGTTCTCGTTTTTTGAGTGTTTAATCATTCTTCAAATCATTTAGCAATATGCAACTCTCATCCCTATTTATCATGTGTCGCAGTCATCTATTGTTTTCATTATTCTTCGCACACTATTGACCCTCCTCTGTCGATCATCAAGCACTCTGCACAAATCATTCATAAACTATATATTCCTAATTGGTATTATTATGACCATTATCATTTCCCATTTGGATGGTATCTTTTCCACCTCGTTTGTGTTTAACTAAACATCCTTATTCTCATCCATTAAACATTGAGCAGCCCTTTGTTTTTTCAGCTCATTGTTATAAATAGAAAAACTTACAACAGCTTAAAATATAATTCTACTTGCATCATGAGATTTCGAAGATAGTAAAGTAACAACTACAGTAATGATAAGAATGAATCATTAAATTAACATCTGCACCAGGTGGGGTTAATACATAAATTATTACTATCTTTCCTTAGGTGCGTGGGGGGGAAGGAGGGGGGGGGGTGTATTTCTCTAAAATTTTCTTGGTGGAGAGGAGGCTACTGACCATGCAAAAAATACGCAAATGGAACGGTCTATTGAATATCTCATTAGTATCTGAAATTGTTCAAATTAGTTTGAGGAATCTTTTCAAGCTGTTGTTTCATAGAGAATTACGTGTTTTCGCATAAATCTGGTGTAACAGTGAAATTTCTCTTTTTCTGGTAACAGAGAGGTATTCGAGGAAGGGGAAGTGCATTAATGGTGGGGATAAACGAAAACGAAATTTGAATTCGGTCGAAATCCGACCGAATCGACTTTCAGGATTGTAAAATTCGGTGTTCCGACCGAATTTCATCGGATTTTAGTGACCGAACTTTGATCGATTATCGTCAGTATTACATTAGCAATTATCAATGAATTAGTCGATTAATTTTCGGTTTTATAATGCTCACTTCATAATTCGAAGCGTACAGTTGTTGATGAGCATTTATGAAATGAAGTCTTACAACAAAACATATTCGGATGAGGCGATCGTTCTAGACACATTCACTGCTTTAGAATGCACGTGCATCATTCAGCATTTAAGCAGTATGTTATTTATGGAGAAGATAAAAGTTCTTAGAAATTTTCTAATATATATTAATCAAATGTGCAACAGTTTCACTTCTTCAAAATTGTTCGGAGATGGAAAAAATATTTGTGGATGTTCAGCTTAAAAAGACACTGATGAAATGTGCGTCATTTATGAGCTGTAATTGGTTACTGATCAGTTTTTATAGCGACGAACTCTGATGCACGATTCACATCAGGGAAAACTTTTGGTGAAAATGAGCCTAAAATGGATCATTCAAATTGTCGCTGTGTTCAGGTTCAATGCAATGTCCATTTTCCATTCAAGTGCAGTTTGATTAATGAATCTAGACAAAAAAACTTGAATGGGGTCATTCAATACTGCACTTCAAGACTCATACAGCTCAACAACAATTGAATTGATTAGCCCATAAGATAGCCGAATAAGTTGTCGTTTATTAATGGCTAATACTATCAATCATGATCTGATTAATTGCTCATTTTCAATCGAGAGTACTTATAAAAAGCACATGGAAATACTGAATGATTTATTCGTTGGTCATCTTGCTTAATTGCTAGGATCATTCCAGTAATATTGTACTTTCATAATGCCCTATCATCCTATGTGTGGTGAGATGATGTATAGAAGAAATATGGAAGTAGGTAGAGTGCAGTCAAGTTGTGATGATTAATGAAACACCAAAATAAGCAATTTATTGTTTGATGTTTATTTTGCATTGGATTACAACATTGAATTGACTTACACAATTCATAAACAAACAACATATATTATGTTTTATTTATTACATTTTCGTGTTAAATACTCCAAAACAAATACAAATTCCACTTTGTCTATTCAAATGCAATGCAATAAATTATACAGGATGTGTATTTTCGAATTATGCAATAAAACAAAACGTTCTGTATTTATATTGGAAGTTTTTGTTGAAGCTTTGTGCTTTATATGAAAGTGATACGTGATATTGAGGATGAGTGAAAAGAACTGTGGAATGAATGATTTTTTAAATGATTAAAACAAATCGTTGAATTGAATGTTAATTGATTACTCATAAGGACTGCGGTCACATGAAATATGTTCATCGTATACTGCAGTTATGTGCATGACAACGTCATTTGTTTGCCTCCTTTGTTAAACTTTTTTGAAGCATTTCACAGAGTTTCCATACAGTCTCACCTAGGTAGGTACTTTCGTAATCGTTCTTCATTTGTCAAATTTGAATTAACCGGTTCTACAGAAAGATAAATAATTTTTCAGTGTGCTGTGCCGTGCCGTGAATTATTCATTGATGTTGACGACTGCCATAAGAAAGTTTGTAAGGTGAGTATTGCAAGAAAATTTATTCGATAAAATTCTTCAGAGTTTATCAATCAAAATATTGCAATCAATTGCATGTTTCATAATACTTTCTTTCTTGGGATGAAAATGATTTTCGGTGATTTTATGATTAAAAAACAATCTTGTTCCACTAATCCTCTAGATTTTCTTATTCTGCTTAGTTGCTTTAATAGCACTGCTTAGTCGCATTTTACCACAGAGTTGACCACAACACTGTAGCAAAGATGACGAAACTAAATCCCATAAGCTCGGCAGATAAATAGGCTGTCAGCCTCTCATCCGGTATTAATGAGAGGGTAAAGCAGTTATTGAAGTAGCATTGGCGATGAGTAATACAGTCAATGTTGAAGGATGTTAAAGATCGCACAAGTTGTAAACAATCGTGTGAGTATTTGCAAAGGATATATGCCGAAAAGCCTGGAATATGTATGCAATCTACCGAAGCCACTCTGTCTGATGTAACTATCTATCTAATAATAGCGTTGTATTCTTCCGTGATTATTTTCATAACTCATCAAATATTCTCTTTTATTCAAGTCATTATGCAATCATAACACTGCTAAACATTTCGAATGTTTTCCATGTGAGTTGCCGATGAAGTAGTAATCACTGAGTAGTGTCAATCATAAATTGTAGGAGTGCTCGGCAATATGTCGTTGGGATGGGGACTGTAGTGAGGCCAATAAGTGTTGTGTTGTTGGATGCAGTAGAAGATGTCTGAAACCAGTCACTCAAGATGCTCGACTGTTGCCGATTCCGACTCGCGTTAGCGTTCAAGAACGTAAACGAAAACGGTTCGTTACAAGATGTTTCTTGTTTGTATCAATTCGAAGTAATTACCTCACAATCTAAGTGAGTACGTCACAATACTCAACTATCATCTACAACACAGTTTCTCATTCATGGAAGCTTCATTACTCCCTTCGATAGCTGGGCAGGTAGTGTTCACCACCCCCCCCCCCCTTTTTTTTCAAATAACAATTTTTTATTTCCATGCATAACGTCGGAGGCAGGCCGAAAGCCGGTTGAAAAATTCCTCATTGGCGTGAAAGGAATTGATTTTCTGAAATAAATAAGTATTTTTAGAACATTACTTATTAGTTGCGGAAAGAATATGAACCTGAGCAAGTAACAACGAAAAACAATGGAAAAAAATCGGAATTTATCAATAAGTTCATTTATTCATGAAAAAAAGATGCAGTGAACATTTGAGAAACTATCTTCGAGATGAACGGAAAAGCAATAATCATTCCATCAAAGTGATAGTTAAGGAATAAGTAAAATTCTATCATTCGGTCACTCTAAATCTGAACTAATGCAATTTTTGAGATACGACAGGTGCAAGAAGCCTGCTATTTTTAACTCCCATTCTTCTTGTGTGATCAGTTCTTATGCAAGGATTTTAAGAACTTTATTGGACAAGCATGAACAAAACACTTTCATGCATTTCATTCACTAATATCATAAGAAATGGTATCGTTCATCACGGAAAAGAAGTATTACACTGGTTGGAAATACATCCATACGTGATGGAAGAAGTAGAAATTTTCATGAGTTGAAAAAAGAAATCAGTACCATCAAATGCAAATATTACAAAAAACAAAATCAATCATCTGAAGCCGATGAAAAATTGTTCTTGATGAATTTAACATTTGATTTAAGGGAGATTTATGGAATAGTTTAAAACTCATGAGTCTTAAATTACAAGCAAAAGTAAATGCGATCTTAAAACTTTCAACTACAAGTCTGGATCGATGCTTTGTTTTCAGACATACCAGTTTCGAACTATATCAAAAAAATTATGAAATACTTATGACTAGTGTTCGTCGATGAGCAACTTTTCGGTCGTGGAGGAGGGGGGGGGGAGAGAGACCCCGTCGGGAAGCAGTGTGGACGGGAGGTTCCCCGAACATAACTTTAAATAAAAAATTAAGTTGAAATCCTCCTACGAGAAGCACTGTTCTACAATATGATCCAATAAACTTCATATCGTTTAAGATCGGCCATAGTGCGGTGGGTAATGCAACAGATGAAACGTCATCATACGACAACGAATGCTAATCTTTATGTTCTACAGTGGCGATGGAGCGTTCGAAAAGATGAAGCTACAATGACTGATTGGCAGACCATTATGGTGGTATGTTGAACAGATGGATTGAATGAGATAGTATTCTTTGCTCGATTAATTACCTCAGACATGATCACGAATTTCAATGCAGTTTATAATACAATCACGAATACAGTACCATTATACTGAGAGTATCATTTTAATGCGAATGCGAGGTTGACATCAATTATTTCACAGAAGAACAAAATGTACGCCATCATGAAACATCTTCTCTCGCCTGGTCGCTATTATACGTTCCGTGTAGCAGCAGTGAATGTTCATGGCAGTCTGGGATTTTCGGCGAGTAGTCCACCTTTCAAGCTTTCTAAAGGTCGTTTCATCGTTTTTGATGCTTTGGCATAACTCTTATATTTAAAGAATTTCTTTTGTCCCGTTTGAATGATATGTTTAATTGATCTCATTAAAATTGAAGAGGCACGAGCACCAGCTCAGCCACGCGATTTGACTCTGGGATCGGCTAATGAAGACTCGGACGGATTTTGGACGCAAAAGCTCTCATGGAAGCCACCACAGTCTGATCTTCCAATAAAAAACTATATTTTATCATGGCAAAAGTCTTTTGCTGAAAAAGCTGCTGCATATGAGAGGATGATGCGAATGCAAAGTGAGCTTGGACATCAAGAAAAACGTTCGACGAGTCACGAAGAAGATGACGGTAGTGATGGGAGTTTCATGTATCAAGAGCAGCAGAGCATCATCGTGCCACCGTATGAAACTTCTGCTTTCATTGACGGTCTTTTACCACTGTCCATTTATTTGGTGAAGGTAACTTATATCTCTTCTTTTGAGCATTCAAATTTCGATTCTTTCCATCAAATGATTCATTATATAATAAGCTCACGTATTTCAATAGACAGATATTTAGTGCATTAATAAATAATGTACTGAACTGATTGTTCAAAATAAGATTTGCTACTGTTTTCTCAACACCATTCTAAGTATCATTCAAGCGAGTCAGATTTAGGTACGTGCATGTGTGGATTCATCAGACGGTGAATTGCATGGTGACAACGCAATAATATTCGTTCATACGGCAGAGTCATCAGCCGTCAATAATACGAATAAAAGTGTATCCCATATACAAAGCAACAACACGCAGACATTAATGCAACACGAAAGCGAAACTCATACTGTTGCATCTCTTGAGATCAAAACACCGTATTATGAAAAGCACGATTTGAAAACAAGCGTCAGCTGGTTAAATTCAAAGGATTGTTCTCCGATCAGGACAACTTTCGTTGTCAGGTTTGTCTTAACATTTATGAGTGAATATTTCATATTCCATTCTCAACTAAACAAATACTCATTATGTAACATCATTTTCTCATATAATCTTTTATTAATTATTATGCAATGTTTTCTAAAATCGATTTATAGGTGGCGTTTAATGGAATGTCAATCAAACGATGAGCAAAAACGAACATTTTATGACTTGGATACATCTGGAGAAGACGAGGCTGAAATTAGAATGAATGAGTGTGTTGCAGTTTTGGATGGACTCAATTTTGGATGCTCTTATACGGTGGAAGTGAGGAAACTGGGTGAAAAAGAGGTACAATAGATGCTCATGAAATAAGACATTATCAGCTATCTTTGGATTGTTGGTATTTCTCTTTGAGCAGGCATTTTAATTTTATACACAGAGGTGAAGTGAGATTGATCCGGAAAATATTACTTCACACTTTTTTACGTAAAAAAGTCGTTGAAACGAAAAAATTCAGTGAATGAACACTGAGTCGTACTTAAGTTAAATCCAAAATTACCATTGATCAGCTGCATGATGGTTCATCTTTATTCCATATCACCGTTCTTTCAGCCATTCATTGTCACTAGCGAAAGTCTGATTTCAGTTGACGGCGTCTGGTGAGTTCAGAACTAAAAGCTGCAAGTTAACACCATCAGCTGAAACAGTTCCACGTGAAGAGGTCGATCAAGCACAGCTATTATCTTGTACTACGGATGCGTTACAATTACGAGCAAACTGTAGATGGCGTATCAATAAAACTGAATTACAATCAGATACGAATCTGAATTCTTATGAAACTACGTTGGTTGGATTCAGAGTCTCGTTGCAGACAGTATCTCAGAATGCTGTATCGAACAATATAAGTATAATTCCAGCAAATATTCGTGATATTCAGTTCACTCATTTACAAATCAATACACACTATAATGTTCGGGTGGAAGCAATTCTGAATCGAGGACTCGGTGAAACGATGAATGCAACTTTTGTGATCGAACCATCAGAACAAATTGTTAATTCACAGTCATCATCTTCATCGAATGACATTCAATCGCTTGATCAATATTCAACAAACGATGGGGAGGAAGGAAGTAGTAACAACAAAAGATTATTCAGTCAGACGATTGGTGGCTTCAGTGGTGCTGAAGTTATCGAATTACCTCTTGGAAGTAGTGCAGTTACAGATGTGAGGTGGCTCTATAGAGATGTTTTTATTTGTTTCTGTCTAAACTATATTTTTCGGAATATATCGTGATTGCAGTATAGTTCACTACAATTTAATATGGGTAAATCAAAGCATTTCGAAATGTTTTCAGTTGATTAATAGGTCTTATCTTGATTCGAATCAAAATGCAGTCACTTATAGTCGGATGAACACTTTGAGAACAGCGACAAAATCAAATGATTAGTCAGACGTAGAAGTGAGTAAATAAATGATGTAGCAATGTAATTGATTTATTTTCAGTGCTTCCAATATCCTCTGATTTATTTTTAGTGCTCCAAAAATAGTGATGTATCTATTCTAGTTAAACTGTTCTATTCCTGTTCTATTCCAAGGAATAAAACAGAACGGTTCGCAAACGAGGGAAGCACAGAATAAAATAGAAAAGAATAGAATAGAGTCGTTTTTGGAGCGGAATAGAACAGTTTTCAAAAACGTGGAATAGAGACATCACTACCCCTGATATATGAATCAGTAATAATTCTATTCAAACTACTTTTCAGCGTTGAATTTTTGCTCAGCAAATGATGCTTTGTTTTTTTTACATGTTCGTTATGTTATCTGTCGCAATAATAAGTCTAGATATTTTCGAGGCTACGAATGTAATGTACAAATTGCTTGATGTTTATCGTGATATTGAATATAATAATAAATGTATCATACTAGCTGTAATAACTTAACCTTATTTTGTTGTCTAAAATGTTGATAACTTTTAAATAACAAACTCAAAACAGACCATTGATTGCAGAATGATGGGCACTCTGCAAAATGTATCCAATGTACCTATCAGAGCCTTATGCATCTAAGCCGAAGCTTAAGCATAAGCCTGAATCTGATTCAAGCGAATGAGGCTAAAACTTAGGCGGATGCATTAGGAATAATTTAGCAAAACAACGCTTAAAGATATAAATATTTGGTAAAACATTGTTTTTGCACAGACACACCGAGATCAGCAAAGCTCTAAACCTACAGAGAGGATCGTAACTCGCCATTTCGTGTTTTCTCAACGACTTTTCAGTAGGCCGGAGCATTTGCAGCCGAAGTTTCATCAATGCCTTTGAGTTGCTTTTTGTAGCAGCCTGTCTGATGATAGATGAGATCGACTGGCATTTGATTAGCGCTGAACAAATAGCAACAATGGTGGATCAAAAACATTACTTGATTAACAACAAAGAGTGCATGATTTGATCTGATCGCATGCAATCTTTAAATTCATACTGTTACAATGACAAGAAATGTTGCTTCAAACTTCAACATTGACGAAATGTTTGAATCGGAAACGATGCAATACTCACTCATTTTTCATCAGACTCGTTCACTTTTTTCCACTCAAACACATCAATTGTATGGAATATCATTAATCACAACACACTCTTGGCATCAGTCTTTCGCAATGCTCATTCTAACTTTGCTCATTGTGAGCTTATAGAATACTTTGCTCATTAGTTTGTTTCTTGAAACGTTTAACCGTCATTCGTATGACCACACATAAATTAGATAGACTTGATAGATGAATTTCGTGAAATAAATATTTACTGGAATATCGACGACTTCACACTAGACGATACGATAATTATTCAAATATCAATTGAGCATCATCGATTCCCGTAATTAGTGAAATAATTATGGGTATTTCAATGCGTTTTCATCGATCTGATTTCAACTATAGTTCGTGTATGAATTTATCTTTGCGCATATGCTGCTGTATAGATAAGACGGTGTTGTGATATGAGTTGACGTGATATAATCACCGAAATGCATCAAAAAACTAAGAAAGACGAGTTGTATATGAACGAGATACAAGGGTCATCAACAGACTGCAAGAAGCAATAAGTCATTTGAAAACAAGTTTCGTTTTGGTTGAATGCATTGCTTATATAGCAATTGTGAGGTTACAGAATAGTGATTAATTGACGACGATGATAATAACTCTGCCTTTGTTTTAATTTATCTTGCAAAAAAATGATTAAAAATTTGGAATCAAAAGACATCTCTATTGACTATAGCATTTACAGATCGGTTTAACGTATATGCTATTTAAGCGTTAATATTTATTCATTAAATGTTATGATGAATAGCTATCATTATTATCACCGTTGTATGATATCAAAACATACGTGTCTGTGTAAATCGTCCTAGGGATTGGATGGTACTTAACAGGAAAATTCTATCTTTTTACTTGCTTAACGCTTCCTTGATTGATTAATGACTGATTCAGATGAATGCAAAATCAATTAGTGATTAATCAAGAAAACACCGACGAACTCATCGAGTCAATTCAAAAAATCTGAAAAGGCCATAATATTTAGTGGATGCAGCAAACTGCGATAGTTCATGCAAATTTCAAGAGACGAGACAATAATTGAACAATCATTTATGGATCAACTTCGAAATGAGATGAATGCGAAGGATGACGAGTGCTAAATAATAATAAGAAGAAGAAGAAGACATTTCGATGGGATGGTTGGGATAGCAATAAAAATATTCATTCGATGTTGTATGAAGTAGAAACAAGTCAAGGCCATATCAAATCAAATCAACTCAGAAATAGTATCAAGATTCACATTCTCATGAGTAGTCTTATATTTGATTAGGTAGTTGTATAACCGAATACCTGTCCGTTCCGTTCGTTGCATATCTTGCTCCATTCACTCTCCTGACGATCATTAATTTTCTTCCTTTCATTTACCAACCATCCCATCTACCCTCTCGTTCCTTCTTTTTCTCCCTCTTAACCTCTCCAACTCACCTTAAATGCAATATTTCGCGTTCCATTTTCCAATTAATTCATTTTTCAAGCATTCACACAATTTATTTCTTTGATGATCAGTTCTTCTTCACTTCCAATTCTTCATTCAACTCAGTTCATTCTTTCATTATATATCATTTTAAATCGACCTTTCTTGGCCATTTACGCTTATCGTCCAAAGACTGCTTATCAATTCAGTGTTGTACCTACTTCTTCTCTTCATATCACATTCGTTGACTTATTTTCAGCAAGCAGTTTCGAACCAAACTTTTAGCGTTAAAAGAACAACTGACAAATTGCAGTGCCGAATAAGAAATAATGCAAACCGAATCCGATCAGCTCAGCTGATCAATTTTCACGCTTCTTCCCATCACATTTCGTTTATTCTATTTCTCGCAGATCAATGATAATGTTTGGTTTTGGTAAACTGAATATGCGCATGATGTTCGCATTTGTACCATATCAATATGCTCCAGAAAATAATGTGTTATTGAATATATTTCGATGTACTCACAAAGGATCACAGAATTGCGCGTTGCCCTCATAAGGCCGTATGAATCGTGTGTCATTCTGCGCAATTCGCCCTTCAATTGTAAGTATTGAAAAGGGGTCAAGATAAGGAAATGAAGATTGAGAAAAGTTTTCATCAAGAAGGAATAAATGAGTGTACTAATGACTTGAGTAATCTCCAGGGGAATGGAGCGTTTGAAAAGATTTTGGAATGATATGTTTGGTGAAGGAGTGGACTATTCACAATTCGAAACGAGGTGAATGGATATGGTTATTGTTTCAGTTGGTTACCGTTCCAAAAATTTTTTCTTGAAAGCATTTCGCTTCTACAAATGGTTGTGTTTCATGGATGTATTTTATGACACCTACGCTTGCAAATGATAACCTTGTTCTGTGATGAATCTATCAAGTATTTCGCGCTTTCATTAATACATTCCTGAAACGGTTCATGAAATAAACTCCTCTTACTGCAAGAAGAAACTGGTTGAGCATTCTTTCAGACTATGGTGCGTCTTTAGAATAGAGAAAATTATTTTTCAGGAACGGAGATGCAGATATAGTAGTTTTTCGTGATAATTCATCGAAATTTCGCCTTTTCGGAACGAATATCCACGTTACATTAGGTGCTGTGATTGCAGCCACAATCGGTCTTATGGTAACGATTGCGTTTTGTGTATTTTACACATTTTATCATAGTCGAGGAAAAGGAAGGAATGAATTTATCGATCACATTGAATTGGGTGAGCTTTTTTAATTTAGTCTGCAACTCAAAATTATTTTTGTGATTTTTCACGCATCTGTAATCAATTTGAAACAATCGTTTTTTAACAAATTCGATAATGCACGCTATTCAATCAGCCACTTCCAAATTTGACCTCATCTCTAATTTCTGCATCTCATCTCGTATATGATTCATGGCGTTACAATTTTTTTCAGTTGATCTAATTTTTGCCTTCTTCTTCGGTTTACCGTGCCACTATTTGCTTTTTTACGGTATTCACGCCGAGAACAAACGATACCTATCGCCATTTCTCATCTTCTATTGTACAAATTTTATGCTGAACGTTATTTTCTGCGTTATAACGATCGTCGCAGCAATTGTCGACGTACGTCGACTTCTTTTCGGACAAGTTCGATACGATTTCGGATGGGTTGCTTTTCAGGTTCAGTCTATTTGTATCGCTACACTTTTCACTTTAAAATAACACTTCATCATTCCGATACACTAATTCAAAGTGCCGATCACGAAGAAAGGAACAAGTTTTCACTTTTTTGCCTTTTCATTTTCATTAGTTCAAGTGTTTCATGTGCTGTTCTTATATTGCTAACAGAATTATCATTCGACAGCGTCATTCAAAAAATTGCAGATAGGTTTCACTGCAGCACAAGGATTCGCAATCTACCTCGTGTTGCGTTGCAGAAAATATTTGAGTGCTAAGGAACACTGGAAGAAAATATCGAAACAGGTAATCAAATCACTTGAGAAATGAGAGCAGCATTTGCCAAATGGAAGCAGCAAATGGTTCCCGAGGGAAAATTCTCGAACTATCGGGGGCGGGTCACTGAAGGGATTGGTAAATCGATGTCGCACGGGGTTCACCACCCAACTGATTGGTTAAACTTTGATTATCAAAAATCTACTCATAACCGTTAAATTATCGTAGAAAGGCAACCTCTCATGATAAGCTGCGTGAGTATGTTATGATTGACGACTACGAACAAGAGTGTCTTATAAAATTGCGCATTTTTAGGGACCAAACTATGATCACTCAATAATCGCAGATGGCGTTACATCAGATTCGATAACTGCTGATAGAGTATGATAAAGTCAACATGGCACACGTTTGCGTAAAACTGGAATAACAACTAAATGATTGATCCTTACCTTATATTTATGAGTCAGTTTACTTCTACAATGTTATGCTCTTCCATTGCAGTTTACTTCTACTTCTGATGGATTCATTCTAAACTTGATCGCTTGCACTGTATAAGGTACCATAAACGTATGAATATGTCAAAGATGATTCGATTATGCTTGATAACGAACGCAGTTGATGGATGAGCAATTCTGAGGAGATCGGAACGTTTACTGAAGTGTGATGCAAACTGCTCTATATTAAGACTGTTTCAGATAAGAAATAGCGAGAGACGTCAATTATTTTCATGAACACACAACGAAGTATAATGAATGCTTACGGGAACATACTTTATTAAGCGAGGATGTAATAGAGGTTTGTTCATCCAACTCACAATCACAATACCAGTACAAAACACGAAGAACATGTGCATCATGATTTTAAAAAAAACTCTTAGGTTCCATTAAAATATCACATCACAAATGCGTATGCATAAATGGTATCGCTCAATTTTGCGCAGAGACAATCCTTTGACAGTGTGGCACTATCTCAGCTTCAGATGCATGCAACTTGAAATCCAATGCTACACACAATGGAATCTCCAGTTGCAGCATATCTCGACGATTTATCCGGAACACAGTCTCTATGTGCTACAATAATATGATTTAACTTTTTCGTGTTTTACAACGACAACATCACCGACTGTATACGTTTAACACAATAGTTCAGCTCTATTGATAACTTTCAAATTCTATATAATGAAAAGAAAAAATTATATCACACTAACAATGAAAAGCGCTTGACGTTCGATTTGACAAATTTGAAGACAATATTCATTCCGCGGTAACAATGAATAAAAGATTTCAAAAAAGGATGAAAGAGCAAATAAATCAGTTCGATTGCAGATATTTATTTGAATTATAAAAAATTAAAAGAAAATTATAAAAAAATTAAAAACGACTAACGTCTATAATACTCGATAAACCCATAGAGCCATGATCATTAATTTTTGTTGCTATTAGTAAAGCAGCACCAGCCACTAACTTTCGATTTGATTTATTCACAAGACCCTACAATCAAAACTCAATGAGAAATTAGCTTAACAATAGAAACTCTATTCTTTAGCAAGATTCATTTCATTAAATATTCATCAAAAATATAGCAAGCAACCTTGAGTACGACTTTCTCATAAAAGACGTATGCGTAGGCCAATGTGGGAACGTCCAAACCACAAGTCTTTGCAATTTGTAACATTTCTTTTTTTATGCTGAAAATATATATCTCTCATTTACTATCGCGAACACTATCACAATAAATTAAATTACAAATAATTACATTAGGCTCAGTGATAACGCATTCGACATATAACCACTATGTGGCAGATTCAAGCCCTGATCGCAAAGGACAATTCCGTTAGAAACTGAATACTGTGTTGATAATATTAATGTTGGCGAGCTTGAGTCAGACTACGATTTTGATTACGTTCAATTTCATCTATGCATTAAATGGAATTAGTGAAAACGTTCCGAGAAAATACCTTACCTTTTGATCTTGCTGAATGTTATTTGTACATGAGGATAGTGAAAACGAAATTTTTCATTGAGAACACGTTTCTCTTCTTCCTCTTCGGAAGAATGAGAAAATAATGTACTCTAAAATCAGTGCAGCTTGAAGTGACTGTTACTGAATACGATCATACTGTGAAAGCGATAGCTTTAAATATGCTACCAAAAAAAAAAACACTAAAACATACGATATATCCGCTGGATTTAGGCGTACACTTCTGAGATGAATTCTGAACTTCAAATTTGTACAACAATTCTGGATTGTAAGTGAAATCTGAATCACCGAAATTTCGCTGCGGACATGGAGCGATACAGAATTTGTCAGGCACACTGCCTTTCCCGAATGTGTCTTGCGCCCTCTTTTCGACACCTTCAATATTACTATTATGTTTGTCAGTACAACATAATTCAATATTATTTTCTAACGTTGAACAACAGATTTTTTATCACAAATGAAATGTTCATATATAGAAATAATACCATGAATAACAACCATTTGCAGCCAAATGTTTTAGTTTTCCACTATAAAATGATGGGAACTAGCGGCACAACAAACTTACCATATAAAAACTATACCCAATGACTGAAATAATCCATCTTGAGAACTTCTAAAAAAGTGGCAGATTCAGTCGCTAACATTTTTTACTATAAATGCACTTAGCACATGAAAAAAACAATCACTTCATCAAACTTCAAAATTGCTCACCATATTCAAGCTTAACAGCTGCCGAATCTGAATCCTCTAAATCGACTGATAAAGTGGTATCCTGAAGAAATGAATGAATGAACAATCCTGTACTAAAGAATTCACAAGTACATAAATAAATAAACATAAACTCATATTTAAATATGAGCCATGAAACAACCAAAGAATTTGTGCAAACAAGGCAGTATCATAAACAATGCTACTTTTAATGAACATTTTAATGCGATTCTTCAATTTATTTTCTAGATAAGAAAGTGAAAGAAATACATTAATTCGATTTTTGTGGACTTCATTACTGCTGAGTGGAAGGTGTAGAGAGATTGCTTGGGGTGGGATCTGTGCTTCATTTTGCTGATGAATAGTTGCATCGTCGGCTATCAACAAATTACCAAAACTCACTTCCTCAAGACAATAAATATATTAAAGTGAGAAATGAATAAGTAAGTGCATTATTGAAATACTGACAAACAAACCATAATGCACTATTCCATTTCTGCACATGAATGATTTATTAATTCTACAAGAGAAGCTATAACGATAACTTCATTAAATACCATAAAACAACGAACAAAATGAAGAATGCTCAGTTGATAAAACATTACTTGGAAGTCTTTGAAATCGATAGGTTTTATATCAGTGGTATCAGTAGACGTAAAATTCAAACGACGAACATTTTTTTCACTGAAATATTCAAATTACTAGGCATAACAAGTTTTTTGATTCACTTTTAAGATATATTAATTAAAACGATGAACCCAATCAAGATTCAAATCAACTTGAGCTATGTGAAATTATTTCAGTTTGAGCCTTGAATTAGAGGGCAGCAGCATTTTGACTGCGAATGAGTTAAATTGTGAAACAATACCTGGACAATGAACAATTAGACATATTGTGCTTGTACTTATGTTTGAACGGAAAACGACTGAACTGAGAGATTGTTTCTGGATTGCTGCACTCACCTGCGGATAAGCAAAATCTGCAACTGAGTCAGACGTTAAGTAATCAATTCTAACTCATCTTAAAACAACAATTACAGAAATTGGTGAAATCTTCTTCTTTCGATGAATTCGAGAATTAATGAACCTCTATGACAGTTTCTGAGACAATTCACACTTCGAAACCTGGACAAAGTGTGATGTAAATTTGAAAACTAAATGATAACCTTTGAAATCGTGCGTTCACATCAAATCAGAGAAAATATTACTTTCAACGGATAACGACTAATAGAACAATCTTATACAATCACAATGCACTCCACTTTCATATGTTTTTTGATGAAATTCAAATGAAGAATGAACTGCTCCATGAGATAATATTTTACGAGGCGACCGTAACAAACAAGAACATTTCGAAAACGCCTAATAATTTCACCTACGCTTAATTTCACTAACGTTGAATATGCTCTTCGCAATGGATTATTCTATTACCTTTCATGCCATCGCTTTGAGAAACTGTGGTGTTCTTGTGAGTATATAACTTCGCAACTTCTTTCCGCTATCAGTTTGATCGATGGATCCTCTAATGACAGTACGTAAAACATTCATACTATTGTTTTCAGAAATAAGCGATAAACAATGCAGCTTTTCATTTGTAAGTTTGAACATATACTTCTCATTTGATAAATTAAAATTTCAGCTTAACGGGAACTTCAAGCCACGTGCTGAATCATAATCGTGGATAGATGATTTGCCGACGAGTAACCCAGATGAATGTCCTCTATAACGTAAGAGAAGAATAAATTCTTGAACGAACCTCGGTGACATGAAAGAACACGATCAAAAACGTGAGCAAATCCAGAATCATCTCGTAACGAAGCCCTTTCCAATTCATTCTCATTGATCGCTTCCTTCTTCAGTGATAATCTAAAAATATGATTCTTAAAAGAAATTAATTCATTCAAAAATTCACAGCAATATCAAATATCTTGTCTTCAAAAATACTCTGTAATAATATTTTACAAAGAACATCGATAATTAAGGATTAAAAACAGAAAACGACTGACTGCGAAAAAATAAGGTTAGTGTGAATAAAAATGTGAACAACCAACCATCAACCTATACACAATTATTCTATGAGAAAAAATAAAACAATTAACACAGAACAACTTCTGAAAAGGGAAGTGTATTGAAATGAAAAAATGAAATGCACCTTCTATCACAATTATGCGAATAAGGTGAGGAACTATGATTACTAGAAGACAACATCAAATCCCCACATGCAGTACATTCTCTTTCGTTTTCTGTTATGATGGTGTCTTCTTCATTACCCATGTGATGTGTCGCATAATGAAGCTGATTATGATGCTGAAAAATATGAGCGATCTCAATTTAATCTCATAACGTGCTCTACTTTGCATTATAAATCTCTATAGCCGCAAAACTTCAGCACAAAAAAGTAACACGTAAATTTGATGATATGTGAATTTAAATACATCATTAGGGGAGTACAATGATACTTTATGCAAATAGAACATTTGAATGTATTATAGAATCAAAATAAACGAGTTCAATATCGAACAAAATTTCCATTTGAAAGTGAACATTCACATACTTGCCTATTGGATGACGATACCACTGTATTGCTTCCTTCTAACTGGATACTATATGCTGAAGGTATACCACCATGGCAAATCCTTTCCACTTCTTAAAACTCAAGATGTTCCTAGCACATAAGTTTTTTCCTATGATAATGGCAATTCATATCCATATAGCAGACAATACGTATGTTCTTTTCCAGATAACCTTCAGAATAATCAACAAAAAACCCAATCCACAATCGATTTAGCCATTCACATAACACCAATACACCCACATTTCATTAACAATCTTTTGACTACAGCATATGAAGATCACTTACTTCCGTCGATAACTGCACCATCGTTTTTTATTTCACGAACATCGCTGGTAACAGAATCCTTAATTGATAATTTTTGGGTGTTTTGTTGGCTCGTATTGAGAGAGGATGATGGTAACAAGGCAATTTTTTTATAACTTTTTGATGCTACTGATTTCAGGAAATTTTGAGCAACAACCGCATAATAAACTCTAAGTTGTTCGTTCCCTCTTTCCATCTTGATCTATTTGAACTGATACGAAATAAAATCAACTGCTGAATCTGGCCACACTCGTCCGACTCAGATGGCCAAGATTTTGAAGGTTGTTCGAAGAGGTTCGCAGTACAGAATAAACCTCGGCCTGAGTCTGGGGAAAGCATCAAGCTGAGTCCGAAGTGTGCTTCAGCTTGGACCTGAGGTGAGACTTCTTAGCTTAAGTCCGGAATAAGCCATAATCAAAGTCCGGGATAAATCTCAGCCTTAGCTCGTAAAAATAGCGATTATTTATATTGCGAACATATCGCGATCATTCGAACAATTTTCAATAGTTCTCCGAAACATCGATCAAAAACGGCTTTATTGCAAGGTTCGCTAGCGTTGGTAAGGGCACGCAAATGATATGTTCTCGACATCGCCTTAGTCGGTTTCCTCACATTCCAGGTGACCAGCACTGCTTACTACGCGTTCGAAAAGTTAAAGACGAAACCAGAACACCACGGCAAGCCGTAAAAAATCTCACGACGTTCATTTAATCAGCAATTACAACTCATTACGAGTATATGCCTCTCTGTTATCACCAATATCACATTCCTGCTTCCATGGCATCCTTCTTTCTGCGCAGCTAACAACAGTAGCATTGGAAATCATCAGTCTTCATGAAATTTTAGCTTATTGTTATTGATATATCCGGCAGTCACAAAGGTTTTGGGTTACCTTCTCTCATTGCCCAATGATTTCTTGGGAGAGGGACTCAAAAAGAGCCCGAAAATGCATTCCGCTTAATCGATTGAACTCGCGTCCAAAGATCGCTCAGAGTAGCTGTTTGGAGCAACCAACAGCAGTAAACCAGTAATCTTTGGGAATCAGTAATAATCGGTTAATGTAACCGAATAGATCCATAGCAGTCGGCATATCAAACGTTCCAAAACCAAGCATTAATGAATGCCCGTTAATTTGCATAATTGAACACAGCCGAATACTAATCCATTAAATGATCGTAACAACGATGAACATTTTGCCGATCGCTCGGGGAAAATTGGGGACTTTTCAGGGACGGAGAATACCCCGAAAATGTCCGCGGCTAGAAAAACGTCGGGGATGGGGAGCTCGAAATTCGCCGATCTCCGTACTGCGCTAAGTGAGATCAGTTCAGCCTTTCGCCTTGCATCGTCCAACTTTGCTTAAAGCCTGGAGTTGGTTAACTGGTAAACGGGCGGATTGTGATTAAGCTGAAATCGAATTTCAGGCTTCATACTCAGGAGTTCAATCGGATTTCAGGCTTCTTTTAATGCAATCACTAAACTCATCGTGTTTTTCATTCACCGTCGTTCATACGATTTATGTGACCGTTCAGAGAATATCACCATCAATTGCGATGATAATCCACTGCAATTAATCTGGATTATCCGGATTGGCCAGGCTATCAAACGTTTATAGCGTTGCTGGCCACAATGCTCACGTTTCCGTTCGCACTGTTTTAGCCTTGACTGACGCCACCTTGCTGGCTAGGCGAGCAGGCCAAATGAGCACAACCGAGTATTTACTTAGTTGCCGTGAATACTTTGCACAATTAAACGTAGCCAAATACCAATCCGATAAATAATCATAACTCTACACTATAAACATTCCGCCGATCGCTAACAGCGATCAACGAAACAACCGCTCGATGTGTAAGTAACAGATAATAAACTCTAAATAAGTAACTGCAATTAGTAACTTTGCAATTAATGCAAACGTTGGTTGTCATAATGCGTTATGGATCGCTGATTCAAGAACGTTGTTCGTTCGAAATGAATGCACTCAATCCAAAACGTACTCATAGAAGCCTGAAAGTTTTTCCACGGCTTTCGTTAGGCAACGGATTGATTCGTTTCAACCTATCGAATCGTTGATGTCATGAAATTTAATGTACAATATAAACTGAAGTGCTTCAGGCACTGTATATCAGTCTCTTGTGCTCTAGCTAAAAAGACTTTTCGTTATATTCTTGGAAGAGCCACACAACGGTTGATATATAAAAGCCAGAATCGTTCACTTGTTACACAATCAAAATCTGTCCTTTCGGAAACTACATGCATTTATTGCGTAAAAGAGATGGCAATTTCGGTCGCTCAAGCGGGCTTTTCTATAGGTCTCACTTTTCGCAATTTCTCTTTCCCTCCGGTCACACCTCCCCTTTTCACATCTCTACCTACGCACCCCTCTACCCTGAATTTCTCTCCCTCCGGGGACCCCTGCCTCTTCTTCTCTCTCCATTCTGGGTTCTCAGCCCCTCTCCGAGGTAGGCATCTCTCTTCGGTAGTCATAAGCGCCGGGAAGTACGATTGGAGTCCCCAGGGGGATAATGGCGCCTGGGAACGAGGAATTTTTTCTGACCGTAAGAATTTCATTACGTCGTCTTTTGATGTGCATTATACGTAATAGAATACAAATGAATGGTCATATTACAAATTTATCAATGAAAATATTACAACTTGAACAAATCAGTCTAAAAATGAGATAATATTACTATCAATATATGAACGAGTTGACAGAATTAAATAATCAGTGATATGAATCACTACAAATTAAATTTTGGAATTCAGAAATCGAAATCAGACGGTCAAATAAGCCTAAAATGGAGCAAACAAATCGTAAAATTTCCTTGTTGATTTCTTCGTATTCCGTACACAGCTATTCCCTCCGACACATCGATAGCCATGCGAGCAACAGTTGTTTCCACAGCAAACTCCCTGTAAAATATTCAACCACTTCATATGAATCAGAGATTTTTAGAAGTGGTGAAATCAAAATCTGATTACTGAATCAATGAATAACCGTTCATTATCATGAATGAACCCGTCCACTGTAATTTTACAATGAGCTGTTTTATACCTTGCAACATCCATACGACAATATCTTTCCACTGATGTCTCTTGCTGGGCAACATCTATTCATTGATGCACAGAATGAGCCATCACCACAACGCGTTGGGTGGTCTTCTATCTAGAATCCATTTTTTCAAAAATTATCCAGTCATAAAATATGGTCTAAATGGGGCTATTCTTATGTTTATGAATTTGAGTGGCTGTCAGTAAGTTAGAATTTGGTCATGGATGGATCAGAGATCTCAGGCTCCATAAAATTCTGGGCAGTTCATTCTTTATGGGACTGGAAGTTGCCACCGGGGAGATAGGACCAAAACAGTAAAGGATAGTAAACTATGCAAGAAGCCCCTCAACTATGCAAGTTTGCGGCTGGGCGGTTGATTGGATTGGAATGCCAGTGTTGACACAAATTCCGAACATTCAGAGTGGAAATATGCGATTGAATTAATCAATTTCGAACCGAAAAAAAACGGTAGTTATAAACCCTCGCATAGCATGCCTTAAACAATTGAGAGCTGACTTCAGGGGATAAGTGGTGTTAGGGTATTTCTTCTTATCCTGACATTTCGATTGATACCACCAATAAAGTGAACTTAATTAATTGTTGAGTTTTTGACGGCCGGTTGGCTCTAGGACCGCCCCAGTCAATCGTTATCTATCTTGATATCGATAGTCATTGACTATGAGTATTCAAACTGCAATGTTCTAAATTAATATTGATCCGTCGCCTACTCGCCCAGCTAACCGGATGGTGTAATAATTCGGCTATACAACATGCAAAGGAAGGAGACATCTCTCATGATTTGTATTCTGGGCGATCTCCCAAAGAGATGGGAAGAAAACATCGTCAACTGAGAGAACCGCTTATGAGTAGAGAAAGCCGTGAATGAAAAAATCTGGATAGCACGTTATGGTCGGCGCTCTAGTGGCCGAAGGTCCAACCGATCGAGGTAATCACAAATAAATGTTTTCATTTACGCTTTTAAATTGTTTTCTGTTGCACTTGGTGAACTTAAGCTGCATACACTCTCGAAAATTTAGCTATCTTCACTGAAAAATTTTGTGCTCAGGCTACTGCATGATTTGTAGAGTCAAACTGAGGAAATTATTACTGGATTGCTGAAGAATTGGTCTTTTTAAAATGCTCTGAAGTTTTTGAAACTGAATAATGACATTGATGTATGAATCGATAAAATAAATGAATTACATTTTCCAATGCTCGTATTGTCGCGGTTGGTTGCTTCATTTCTATAGTTTCGTAGTCTTCATGAATACATTCATCTTCTTCACATCTTTAAATTCTTTTAATTATCTCATATAATTTGCTCTATTTTTATGCATTCTTCTGATTGCAAATGTCATCGTTCTTCTTTTACGCCGGGTATACGACATCCTTTACAACGATTTCATATGATGATTAAAATTCAGAGCAACTAACAATATCACATCAACCTTACCTGAAACCAGATGGACAACAAGACCGTCCTCTATCACAACAAACGCCATCCTTATGTGCACAGCAAGTTGCATGACCATCTTCTGTTTGACAGCTGGAACGGATTCTTACTATTGAAGATTTTCAATTTCACATGATTGAACAAATGCATTGATTTTCAAATTTTTCCCTTGAAACCGTTAACAGGTAAACATCAACTTATTTTCGCATACAAATTTATCTCCGCATCACAAACACTCCATTCACATTTGCATACCTTTCATCCCGCTTTTATTTTCATCAGAAAATTACTAATCGTAGCATACCTCTTGAGATACATCACTGATTATCTCAAATTTCCTTACTTCCCATGACAAACATTTTTTAAATTCGTCTAATATCGTTGATAAAAATCGCTTAAAGCTATTCATACCTCTAATATATCATAAAATTTAATAGTAAATATAATTACTTGTTCAGTACTCTTTCATCAGTCAATGAGGTCGATCAAATTGTCAAAGAATGTTCATGTTTATCTTACTGATGGCAATCATTCTTTTAAAATTATTCTATCATAAAACCAAAATATCAATTATTATTCGAGTACCATTCATTGCTTGCTGGACATTTCGCCGAATGAGCGCACATTTTGAATGACATTTTACTTGCAAACGATGGCGTATGAGTTTGTTTCGTTTTATGTTGCTTGTTCGACCAGGCGACCACCTTTCGGCCCTATTTTTACTTATTCAAATTCATTTTATAATGTCTCGCATCAGATAGACTTTGGAAAATTCCATAGTGGTGCTTATTTATAAATAGCAAAATTGGTGATCTACTATGTAAGTTGTTGCTAAAATCATATAAAGTGATCTACTGATCTCATAATTGGTATTAGGCAATGGATTAAGAAGAGACGAACATGCTTCAGACACATTCCATGTTTCAAGTCGCATTTTGTGCCTTCAGGACAACAGTGTAAATGATCGCTGCAACAGACTGCATTTGGTAATGGACAACAACCATACTGATGACTGCCGATAATGCAACACGTTGAATCGTCGTCGCACTTCGTTTCGTGATCCGGACATAGGATGTTGTTGCGTGTGTTCAGCTTACGTGCTTGTTGCTTTCTTCTCATTCTTCTCCAGCCGTCACCACTCATCTGCATCATTCTTTCACGTATATCTTTTGCAATTCTTTTAACATTTAATTTTCTTAATTGTCAAAAGTGATACACAGCTTTGAATAACAACTAAAATCACCGAAATGCATCGTTCAGCTTCAACATCGCATGTGGTATTTTGAGGACAACAATGTAAATGATCGTTACAACAAACTGCATCTGGCATAGGACAACATCCATATACGCCTCTTCCAATTAAACAGCATGTTGCTGCATCATCACATTCTGATGTACCATCCGGACAAATGCGTGCGTTCTATAAGTGGTTATCTATCAAATATCCACAATATTTTATTATGATAGTCTTTGCAATCATTGCTCTACATCAAACTGTTTCATGTAAAAGCACCGCAAAAGTGAGAAATTTTCATATTTTTTGATACGTTGAAATTCCTCAGAGAAGATGACTAGAATGATTATCTACATGAACGAGATCAGAATAAATTTTCAGATGAAATCAATAACAGTGTAATCTAGTCAGTCAATTTCTCGCTCAGTCACATTAAGTACTCAAACAACTCACAACTGCCAAAATAAACACAGCAGTAATTGATAAGATCGCAGCTATGGTCATTCGCATTCGTTCTGTAAATATTTTGTTTTTGATAGTGATCGCAGCTATGGTGAGATCATTATCAGCATTAGTATTATGATTATCATTAATAATACCATCATTATTATTATCACTAATGTTATTATTTTTTACGCGATCAACATTATGTTCATTTTTATTGCACGCATACTCCGTATAGAACAGGATTTCTCAACCAAGGGTGCTCGCAGCGTTTGAGGGTGCGAGATAGTACTCCAGAGGGTATAAGGCTACATTTTTGAAGTTTAGATGGTATACACTTAATTACGGTACACACACTCGCTATAGTGATTGACAGATACAGAGCAAATATTATGTGGGATACGAGGACATTTTAAAGACTTTTAAGGGGTACGGGCGGAAAAAAAGCTGAGAACCACTGGCATAGAGCGATTATTTCCTGAATAAATTAATGATGAACATAAATGCACAGAAATTAATATGTGGATGGTGGATAAGTTGAAAATGAAGGGTATATTTTGAGCATACATTTGTTTCAATAGAAGCAAAATTATAAGAAATACTGTTATATGCGTTTTCGTCATGATATTTTGGAGTGATTCACCTCACGATATGATCACAGTCACAGAAAAGCTTGGAACGTGTTCATTAATGATTCTAGCCCTTGTGATGTTTCTATCTCAGTCGTTTCTATCCATCTCTTCTATTCCAAGTAATAGAAGCGAAAAATTCCAGGAAAAAAGACGCGAAGAATAGAACGGAACAGAATAACTGAAAAGAACAGAATAGAAGTTTGCTAAAAGTGTGGAACAGTAACATTATTATTTAGGCCGTAGAAGAACGGAAACAAATGAAAGATGTAGTAAGTTGTGAACATTAAATTTATTATCAAGCGGAGAATTACGAAAGAGAGGTAGTGCTTGACTGAATGAATGTATTGAAGAGTTATATGACTGCTTTACCACACCGATACGAACCTGTGTCATCGTCTGAATGGCAATTTGATAACAATAATAACGCCTGATAAGATAACACTCTATCAGCGCTTCGTACCATATACTCTGCACTCATTTGAAAAACTGCAACATAAAAAGGCTCATATTCATTCGAATGATCGCTACATTCATCAGTTGCATGCAATTCACAGTCATCATCGAACTGAAGTTTGAAGTGTGTTCTGAATTTTGCAGGCAGATGCTCAGAAGCTGTCCATCCTCAGAAGGTGTCTGTCCTACTATATCACATGCGAATGTTTCTGTGAGTGAAAGGCATTAAATATCAATTCATAAAATATACTTGCATCGTTAATCAAAAAACATTTTGCATTATAGCAAATCTATGACGAGTTACATTTTACCCTTATAACTAGCAACTAATGTGCCCCATTCATACTTAAAAGTCCTCCATTCTGATGGAATTTCACTGAAATTTTTTTTGAAGTTAGCATCGAACTACTTCACAAGCCATGATTGCGTGATGCATTTTGATTTTTGTGAAGATGCTGTGGTCATATATTATTTTGTTTGTCACATATTGTTATATTTTGTCATATATTGTCAAATTATTCTGTCATATATCATACATAAAACTTATTGCTAGCTAGTATTATTTTGTTATATCTATACGTCATTCGGACCTCTTTGATACGAGAGGTCATAAGATGTGTAAGAAGTAAATATTTGATATTACTGGTAGCTTTATACTCTTCATTCAAAAGCACAACTAAGCATTACTTCAGAATTTCAAAAATTCTTTGCAATGAACGTAAGAAAAACATGAGAGTAAACAGGTGCCTAAAATACAACAGGAAATTGCTAAAATAATGTTCATAATTCCTCATCGATAATAGTTTTTAATGACCAAATGATCAGCTTTATGACAACACGACGGGATGTGAAATGTTTAACATTAATTAATGTAATAAAATAATGCGATAACACTGAAGTTGATGCAATAATATTGAATCATAATTGCATCGCAATATGATAAATGAGATCGATAGGTTGGTTACGAGAGTTGATAAGAATTAATTCAGATCATCGAAGTGTAGAAACGCAGTTCGATAAATGAGTGTTATTTGACTGCACTGTTAAATCGGCCATCAATAAGTCTTTGTGAGATCTGCAATAGTACATTTAACTGATCAAGTAATTAAATCAGTTTTTGCATCCTCCAATCACTCTCAATAAAAAATGGCTGAAAATTCATTTTCACGTAAACAATTAAAGAATGATCGTCATTATTTGGGTTACTGAAGAAAATTTAACGCGTTAACCTCAACACTTTTTTGTTACCCGAACAGAACGCTCTTTTCACACTTTCTTTATTGAAAAGAAACCAAATCCATGGATTCATACAGCTATTTAGGTTACCAAAAAACATTATGTAGGTGGCAAATACCGGATCTGAAATTTGTACCATCACTGTTAAGCACATACTTTAGTTTGTTCACTAAAGAATGACAGCAAGAGAGAATATGTATGCGTTTGCTCGTTCGATAAAGGATGGAACTCAGAGATGAACACATGTAGGCCGCTAGAGAATGTCTTCGAGAATGCATCATATTAGCAGCAAGTTGACATTAGCTTAATTAAAATATCAAGCAATAATCAATTCGGGTTTGTTCGCAATAGAAGCAAAAATATTCATGCAAGAAACAAAACATGTTTAAATGAATTCAACAATTCAACGTACTAATTAATTGGGGAAAAAGTGCATCAATAACACTTATAATACAGAATGGTGCCCATAAAATGAAATTTGCTGCGACAATTGTTAACGTTAATTTCACGGTCTGGACATGTCTTCTATCAAGTTCTATTCGCTGTGCTTTTACACCTACAATTCATCATAGATATAACATTTTGTGCATACATTCCATTTTAGTACATCCCAGTTGGATACATATCATTCTACTCAATCGCAATCAACCATTCTTCTAGAAATGTTATTAAATGAATCAATAATTAAGTAAATGAAAATCAAAACAAAACATAGACAAGTTAAAAGAAAGCCTTGTTGTGTGAATGTTCCGTCGCTCCTGATTAATAACGAATTTCGCGGTCGCTTTTCCAATGAATGTGAGATTGTTGACCTGGGTTTATCACTGAGTTTCAATTCACAACACGATTAGATGGATCTGGGAAGCTGATAGGGATGGATGAATCAAAGATACTTCAGTTGATCTTACTCGCTGAAGCGTTTTCAAAATCGAAATGCAAAAATGTGAAAGATGGAATATGATGGAGAATATAAGAAAATGAACCTTGATTTTTCATCAATAGAGTTTCTCGATTGTTTGGTTTCGAATTGTGAAAAGGACGCCATTGACTGACGTACAGATCGACAAACGTTATAATAGAAATATCCAGCAATTGAAGACGGTAATAACCATACCATTATGTTGAAAAAGACTACATACAGTGAATACTGAAAATGATTTGTAAGTGTTATTTCAATGTTATGATTATAATTGAATGAATAAAATGGAAAGAAAATTTCTAGGCATTCGAATGATATTCTCTGTAGGATGAGTTTTCCGAAATGACAATACTTGCTACTGTTACTCGCAGTGAACCAACATTATATTATTCATGGTTAGAATTAACAAAACATTGGCAACTCAGATGAATCAGCAAAAAAAAGTGAGCAATAGCTGGCTGTTGAAAAACGCCTCGGAGGAAAGCACAAAAATTTCTTCAACTCAGGCTAACAAAGAGATGCCAAGTTCGGAATATGTGTAATCGACAGGTATGGCGAGCAAATCACATGAAACCGGCAGAATCTGAATTGAGATAATAGCACAGATATGATTAATCCTAAAATTTTTCGACTGGCCTCGTGCTACCATTAATAACTGCTTCTTACAAGTTGAATGTCACAACTTGAGAGAACTGCTGAACTCTCAGACCTGCCATTCACTTGTGTAAGTATCGCGACAATCACCATCTTCATGCTTGGCAAAATTGAAGAATTGCGGAATTGAAAGAAATCCTGCCAGTGACCACGCAATTGCTGCGTATACTGATGGTCTATTATAGTAATCGTTACGCATCGCAGCCAATGGACGGCATATTGCCTATAAATTTCCACATCAATATGGTAATAAATTGGAATTTTCTGAATCTTTCAGTAAGCGCACAAGAAATACTAATCAGCAAATGGAATCCCATCGAAATTAAACTGATCACTGAAATTATCACAATTTGATATCCAAAGAAATATGCGTTTCATCAAGGAGGATCGATGATACAGCAATAAATTTATTCGATTCCTCTGAGAAAAAAAAAGATGGAAATCCATCTCAATGATATTGCGAAAGAATTTATCAAGAATGCAAAATGAAAAACGTTCACGTGGTATCGATCCGCACTGATTGCAACCAAAAGAAACGAACTCGCATACATTGGAATAACCTGCAACGCATTATTCATGCGATATCTAGCTAGTTCAGCAGTCCTCCAACCAATTTATCACATCATTTCAACGACTCACCCAATTTCTTTGAGCTTTTTGTTTCGCTTTTTCTTCGTTTCTCTCTACTAAAGAACTTCTCTATAGAAAATTGCACCTCATGGAAAAAGAAAAATCGTTGAAAGATCGCATGATATCGCATGATTCCGTTCTCTATTAAATGAATTCATCTTCAGATTTAATTACTAAATATAGAAGTTTTAAATAAAATATTGCACGGCATTACTTGAACATATTTGACGAATTTACATACAATATTGGGTCCATAAAATATGGGATCAGTGATAATGATAAGCATAGTTGGAAGTATTGTTAATAATGCAAACAATAAATCCGCAGCACTCATGTGTAGAAGTAATGCCTAAAAGTAGCAATTTTTCTTAAATGAAAATTCAAAGAATCTTGAACACTCACAATCAGTTACAACAATGATATTTCGATTGGAGCTGAATTAAAAACATATGGAAATTGACACAATATATTCAAATGTGTCATAACAAAATATAAAATTGATCGAATTACCTGTACCGAAGACAAACGTTTCCGTTTCAGAACGGCATTACTTCGCAAAATTACATAAATTAAATTCGTATTGCCGAAAATGATAAAAATAAATATTATCATATTATGTAGAATCATTATGTTCAAACTTGGATTACCGATTAATTCATCATTGCTACCATTATTAGTCCAATTAGAAACCATTACGGATACTCAATAAAAAGTAGTTTACAGATTTAGAGATGGTGAGTTTATTTGCGAGTATGTACTTGAATGAATGCAATAATCTGAAAATGTGTCGTCTATGTAAGGCAATCTTTGATGAATCAAATGATGCAATGCGACCATGCGATTCAACTTATCATCACTCCGAATGGCATCTATGTGTATTACGAATATCAAAAACACTATATCAGTATTTAGCATTTTACAGTACCGCCCATATAATTTTCTATTAGTTATCTAATGAGGCACGAATAACAGCTGATTAAGGTAGCTATTTCCAGGTGCTATGAAACGACCATTAATGGCATAAGGATACGGGGAAAATAAAGGGGAATCATAATGGTTCAAAGATTATTGAATAAGTTCATCGTTTAAATGAATATTCTGGAAGCAACTAGACTTGATACAATGTAAAACGAATGAGGTTTATAATTAGTTGCAAAAATTCTACATTATTACAGAACGAATAATAATATCTAACATAATTTTACTGAAATTGGGAATAACATATTAATACTGTCAGAATTGACTGATGAATACCGATTTCACCTCAATGTCAAATAAAATCGATCATAATACACTGCAAAGATTAAACATGACTCCTTATAACTCAAACGAGTTAAACATGACTCATTATAACTCAAACGAATCAGATTTCTCGTAACTGGGAAATATTTCTCGTAACCATTCGAAAGACACACTCAGTCTGATTCGGTTATACCCTTTAATACTTATCAACTTAACAATTTAAAACTCATTACACCAAAATCTAAACTAAGCATTGATGCCAGTGAAAAAGTTAGCTTCGCTAAACAGCAATCTCTCTGAAATGTTTTTCGCTCCCTTGAAGTTAATCCGTAAATAAACTCACTCACGAAAAAAATTAACAGATTTCTTCGTTAAAAACGCCGCTGATTAAAATAGTAGCGGCAATTTTCGATAATAATATAATCAGCCAAATCAATCTTATTATCAATACGACTATTCAAGAGAACTTTTTCGCTCCAAATGCATTTTATCTAACTAACGTTGATCGTTAGCTACTTTTGCAAAAACAAGAGGGAATTTCAATAGAATTATCGAAAATCAAGCATAAAATCAACTGATTTATTCGCTTCTGACACTCACAGTCAGCTGACCATAGCCCTTTGACATGAGTCCTAATGGATCGAATTCATTTGAATACAGCCAGATTTAACATAACAGAGCCAGTTCATCGCGCTGTGAGTGTAATTTATCATTTTGCAAACGTTTGCTTATCACTTAATCAAATAATCTAGGTTTTGAGCCGAAAATAATAACAGCTTCGAATTCAGGACTGGTTTTACCTGAAATGAATATTTCTTACACATGAGAATCTGAAACAGTAAACAATAAAAGGCAAAGTAAAACTTTCAAATTGATCATTATCGGAAAATGAATCAAGTACTTTAAAAGAATAATGAGGTGATGCTATTGTTGAACTAAGTAACGTTTATTCGCGTGATTGTCATTGTCATCATGCATGCATTGTTTAGGTGTTGGTCAGGAATGTTCGTTGGTCTTTATAGCCATCAACGATCAACTTTTCAAGTTCGAAAAGTAGGTTGAGGCCGAGAACGACTCCAATATGCTTTTGGCGAATATTAAAATAAGATCACAGAATAACATCACTTCGTGAAATGATATAAATCCATCGGAAAAAGAATGCACACACTTTAGGGACTTACCGAAAATTTCAGGTACTTGAAGCTCAAACTTCACCGGAGGATGGAATGTCATCTGGTCAAACATGGTGTGGGGTCAAAAATGACTCCAATTTACGTCACAGAGTTGTATCATCATCCTCTCAAAATAATTCGATGTTTTTCGAATTCATCGTTTATGTGCAACTCTTGACTATTTTATAAATTGCTTCGGATCCTTCTGACCCATCAACATTCAAATCTTAAGGCATTGAGCAATTCATGATTATCAAAACAAAACAGTAATACTGAAAATAACGATAATCTTGTCGCTAATAATAATAGCCCATCCACAAGAGCAGTATTATTACAATCGTTTTCAACCGTACCATGCATCGTCATTTATAATTACGAGACGTTTGAAGCAAGTGATGACTGATTTTGAGGAATGTCAATGAATATAAACCACAATGAATGTTGGTCAAGAGTATTCAATGGAAGACGTTTCTTTAATTTTGCTTAATATAGCAATATGACACCAGACCACTGATAGAATCTATTTCTATCATAAACTTTATTGCTCGCATAATTTTCATTGTTAATTGGAAATTTATTAATTTTTGTTCCATTTCTTTCACAAAATCAACCCATTCTACTGTTATAATCTCGAAGGCGATCCATTCAGTAATTTTTCAGCTAAACCAGTACGTTATGACTCGTTCATTTTCCGTTTTTAATCAACGAGCTTGAGGCAACAAAATGTAAATGAAAATTGCAATGTCAGATATCTGTTAATTATCAAAAGGTTAATGAACGATGCTCTGTGTATGATATTTTATTGCCGATGAAAGCTGTCGTGATTTGAAGTTAATGAATTCACTGAAAATCGGTGTTCGCTTTGATTGATGCTTATGATTTTTTCATAACCAATCTAAAGTATAAATTTAGCATTATATTTCAATTAATGATCCTTTCTTCTACTATAATTCAGTTTGTTTCCTTTGAAATTTCGATCTTTTTTGATGGAATAATTTCGATGTTTCTTTCATTGCAATCTTCGGCATTCAGTTCAGATTTAAGGATTCATTCATAAAGAAAAAAGGAAAACAAACACAAGCAAAATAACCAACCAAAACATGGCTTATCGAATGGATACATCGCAATAAACATTAGCATCTAATAATAACATCACATTGTTCTAATGAAATATTTAACTGACATTCATATAAGAGAAGGAACTTTCGGCAGTATACTGAGCCTGGTGACACTAGGGCGAACAAAATTATATTCATCAAAGTGCAGATTACATAGCATGATATCACTTAAATTCTATCAAACCATTCTTCCTTTTTAAATTCAGCTTTTATTCAGATATTTCGTGCATTTTTTACATTCATTCATTCGTTAAGTGATTAAATATGAAGTATTCGTATTTTTATGAGGCAGTCAGTGGGTGAAAATCGATAGAGCATTTATGTGTGAGGTTGCACGTTCGAATCCCGTGGTAATGGTCGCTCTCAAAGAACATTAGCGGTTCAAGACTCCATGATGGAGCGCATCCAGCTCTAAGATACCAATAGAAAGGTTATATTAATGGATGAATTAATTCATAAGAATTAATAGAAAGGTTACATTAATGGATGAATTAATTCATAAGCGTTCTTGTCTTGCTATATGCAAATATAAAAGTTTTCAATAATAATATGCGCAAAATACACTCCTACAAAGTGGCTCATGATAACAACTTTTTCATTTAAAATATTCTCTGTTTTGAAAGGACTATTCAATCAATTCGCTAATCCAGTATTTCGTAAAATGTACATGGATTCATTGAAGAACATCTGGAAGCATTCTTAACGGCTCTCTTGATATACTTTCTACAGAACGTGGCTAAAATTGTAATGAAGTTAGAGGAATCAACTATATTTCGTCATTTGTTCTGTTTGTGAATCTTATTTGTGTCCGAATCATTTGATTGAATGATCAGGGGATGATGCATCATTCTCATTAAAGATAGTAGCGATCACAAATGAATTTATTCTTCAACATCTTCCTGAGGCGAGCCCAGCAAAATAATGGTACTCTGATTTATTTTCTTGATTCGTACTAGTGTTGTGCGGGAAGAGAAAAAAAAGTCGGGGACGGGAAGAGCTCCCGAAAATGGCCACCGCTCGACGGGGAGTTTCGGGGAGAAGACTCAATCTCATCCCTGTCCCAGTCTCCGACTCCCCGAAACTCCCCGAACATGTAACTTTGAAACTAGAGTCAACATGACCTTGAGATCATGTTTTAATGGAAAAGCACTTAAATAAGTGATCTTTAGGCTAGAAAAGCGATAACTACAAAGACGCAATGCAATTCTATTCGTAGTAAAAACAGCAAAAAAATAGCACAGCAAATAGAGTTTTTAGAGTTTAGTAAAAAAAGTTGCAAAAACTAAAGTTTTTGAAAAAAAATTTCTTTAACCAAAACAAGAGAGAATTCACACTCTACTCCTGCAGTTTTCAACTACACTCACCTATGCGGCCATATTACATGTCACTGTGCAGCTTTCGAAATATTCTTATTCGTGGGAAGGAATTAACACACGGATTCATGAACTCAAAATTTCGTTGAATTTTGTTGCTCTTGATTCTCATGAGAAAATGTGCTTATCTCTATTAGCCTACATAGAAATGCATCCAGATGAGTGTGACATTAACTAATGAAGAGCAGAATAATCAGTTGAATGTTTGTGTCAGTTGAATCAGTTGAATGCTACGTAAAAGTTCATCAATCTGTTGCTGATCATGTCATTCGTCTGACTTGCATCAATTTCCTTGACTATTCATCAATGATAGGTGGCAAACAACAAGGATGACTGCATATGAATGAGCTGGGAATGATTAAAGCTTGCTTCAAGATGGGTATACTATCAAGATTCACACAAATTGATGCGCTTTATCAAAACCCGAGATCCCAGGATTTTTCAAAAATTAAATCCCGAAGTCGGGATCAGAACTGAAATCCCGGGATCCGCTGTAAACCTTAGCTGAGACAGGATGGTAGTGGAGCCTTAAAGGCAAACATGCGAGCAAAGATCGAATATTCAACTTTGAATTGCTTGCATGGGCGCGGCAGATTCGAAGCTATTTTTTTTCCGGGGAGTTTCGAGGAGCCTCTCCGAAACTTCGGGGAGAGCCGACAATTCTGGAGAGGTTGGGGACGAGGACAGTCCCCGAAAATGGCCGCTGCTCGAAAAAGATCGGAGACGGGGACTCGGGGACGGGGATCCCGAATTCGGGGACTCCCCGCACAATACTAATTCGTACCTCT